GCTTGGCTGCACCTGCGTGAGGGACCTGCGCCTCCTGGAGAGCTCCGAGCTCGAGGCCATCCAGCTGGTGTCCGTCGGCGCCTCCTTCAGCAGCTCGACTCGCTGAAGCTCCATCACGAAGGTATTTATCTGGATTTCTCTCTGATCAGGTGGATGCCATACACGGAGTTTTTAGATTCGTGTTTATACATACGTGTGTGTTTATGTTCATATATAATCATACATACATACATTCATACAGACATGTATATGTATATATACACACACACGCGCACACACACACACACACACACACACACACACACACACACACACACACACACACACAACACACACACACACACACACACACACACACACATCACACACATCTATCAAATTACCAACACAACATATGTACCGTCATACATACAGTGGATACAGACTTCACTGCAATGCTAACACTGCCACAGGAGTCCTCATAATTGTCGTTTTGTGGCAGCTGGTATATTTTTAGAATATTTTTCATCTAATTAAGAAGCAAAACCTCAACAATTTTACTTTTCACGGCAATATTCCACCCCCGAGCCCCTTCAATACCATATAACCCAATAAAGACCGATATTTTATGATATATATTTTTTTTCTTTTTGGTAAAAGTATTTTTTATCTACTAACTTGCCAGTATAAGTAAGTAATCGCCCCTTTCCTATCATCTCCTGTTCCTCTTCTTATCCTTTCTTTCTCTCTCCTTCGTTTTTCATTTTCTAGACAATTCCTTTTTGTGATTCGTGTCTCCCTGCCTCCGTCATTTCTCAGGCTCTCTCTCGTTCCTCCTCTCCTCCGCTTTCCTCCTCTAATCTCACTCCCCCCTTCTCCGCCTCCCGTCAGCGCCCCCGAGGACTGCTCTCTCGAAGGGTGGCTCACCTGGTACGGCCTCACGCACATCTCGGGTTTCCTGAAGGCCATCTAGGCGGAGTGCACACGTGGTGACTTGGCCTACGTCAGGGAGGAGGACCTGGTTCTCCTGAAGCCCGTGACTCGTAGAAGGATCCTCGCCTGTAATAAAGAGGTCAGTCAGCTGTTTAAAGTCACGTGGGTTGTTTGTTGAGTTACAGGTGGTTTGTG